GAATCGATTGGGGACTTTCAAACTGTTGGGTGACTCACATCTGTCTGGTTGGTCCACACCCATATGTGCGTCGCACGCGTGTATCTCACGTATGGTCGCAAGTCTTAGCTCCTGGCCCCACTTTTCGACCTGCTCCGTGCCAGATTCACCCTCCTCGCAGCCTCATTGACCCTATCGTACCTACTCCTAAAGCCATGTATGGTGCCTGCCTCTTAACATTTCTTTATAGAGATCATTCCACTTCCCGACCACTCTTAAGACGTAAGATATACTTCCTGTTATCCTAATGGCTGATCTGTTTTTAACCTCAGCTGTGTCCCAGAATACCTCTTTCCCGCATCTCAAATAGCCTGTCTCTGTCTACCCTATCAATTCATCCGAGTATTTTGTATGTTCTTGTAATGTCCACTGGTTCTTCTGTCATTAGATTTGATTTGGTTTGCCTCTTCGTAGCTCATAACATGTTCATGTGGGAGGTTCCATACTGGTGCTGTATACTTCAAGATGGGCCTAACATGTATAAAGGGCCCAGAATGACTTGCCAGGGAAGCGCTAAATCCGCAGGATAATACAGCGCTTGTGGGGATGTGGAAGGTATACAGGTTTAATTCAAGGAACCGGAGCACAGATCCAATTCCCTAGATCAAGAGCCTCTCACCAGCATTAAGGAACCTTCCTTGAGTGGCATTGGCTGCATAGTTCATTCAGCTGATGTAAGCCTCTGGCTCACCCTAGGTGATGGTCCTTCTCTTTGAATGAAGTCTGCAGCCTGTCCCCGAAGTCCATACTTCATGTCCGGTTTCTTGCCTCTTCCCCAGTATTCATAATTTGTGTGTACTCACCTATTTTGCGGTTTCAGGGGTCGATTCACAGGTTCCCCCGTGAGTGTGTGTGTGTGCGCGCGCACTCGCCTAATTGTGGTTGCAGGGAAGGCGAGACGTAGTGTGTGTGTGTACTCACCTATTTGTGGTTGCAGGGGTCGATTCATAGCTCCTGGCCCCGCCTCTTCGCTGACTGCTACTAGGTCCTCTCTCTCCCTGCCCCATGAGCTTTATCATACCTCGCCTTAAAACTATGTATGGTACCCGCCTCCACTACGTCACTTTCTAGGCTATTCCACGGCCTGACTACTCTATGACTAAAGAAATACTTCCTAACATCCCTTTGATTCATCTGAGTCTTCAACTTCCAATTGTGACCTCTTGTGTCTGTGTCCCTTCTCTGGAACATCCCGTCTTTGTGCACCTTGTCTATTCCGCGCAGTATTTTATATGTCGTTATCATGTCTCCCCTGACCCTCCTGTCCTCCAGTGTCGTCAGGCCGATTTCCCTCAACCTTTCTTCGTAGGACAATCCCCGTAGCTCTGGGACTAGTCTTGTTGCAAACCTTTCCACTTTCTCTAATTTCTTCACTTGCCTGACTAGGTGTGGATTCCAAACTGGTGCTGCATACTCCAGTATGGGCCTGACGTAAATGGTATACAGAGTCTTGAACGAATCCTTACTGAGGTATCGGAACGCTATCCGTAGGTTTGCCAGGCGCCCGTATGCTGCAGCAGTTATCTGATTGATGTGCGCCTCAGGAGATATGCTCGGTGTTATACTCACCCCCAGATCTTTTTCCTTGAGTGAGGTTTGCAGTCTTTGGCCATCTAAACTATATTGTGTCTGCGGTCTTCTTTGCCCTTCCCCAATCTTCATGACTTTGCATTTGGCAGGGTTAAACTCAAGGAGCCAGTTGCTGGACCAGGTTTGTAGCCTGTCCAGGTCTCTTTGTAGTCCTGCCTGATCCTCATCCAATTTGATTCTTCTCATTAACTTCACATCATCTGCAAACAAGGACACTTCTGAGTCTATCCCTTCCGTTCTGTCATTCACATATACCAAGAACAGCACAGGTCCTAGGACTGACCCCTGTGGAACCCCACTTGTCACAGGCGCCCACTCTGACACCTCGTCACGTACCATGACTCGTTGTTGCCTCCCTGGAGAGACCTCTCCAGGTCTCTCCAGGTATTCTCTGATCCATTGCAGTGTCTTTCCTGTTATGTGTGCCTGATCCTCTAGCTTTTGCAGTAACCTCTTGTGAGGAACTGTGTCGAAGGCCTTCTTGCAGTCCAAAAAAATGCAGTCGATCCACCCCTCTCTCTCTCGTCTTACTTCTGTCACCTTGTCATAAAACTCCAGTAGGTTTGTGACAGGATTTCCCTTCCCTGAAACCGTGCTGGTTGTCAATTATACACTTGTTTCTTTCTAGGTGCTCCACCACTCTCCTCCTGATGATCTTCCCCATGACTTTGCATACTATACACGTTAGTGATACAGGTCTGTAGTTTAGTGCCTCATGTCTGTCTCCCTTTTTAAAAATTGGGACTACATTTGCCATCTTCCACACCACAGGGAGTTGCCCAGTTTCAGTTGATGTGTTGAAGATCTTTGTTAATGGCACACACAGTATCTCTGCTCCCTCTTTAAGGACCCACGGAGAGATGTTGTCTGGTCCCACCGCCTTTGAGGTGTCAAGTTCGCATAGCAGCTTCTTCACTTCCTCCTTGGTTATATGTACCTCATCCAGCACTTGCTGGTTTACCCCCCTGTTCTGATTTCCTGGAGTCCTACTGGTTTCCACTGTAAATACTTCTTTAAATCTTGTGTTGAGCTCCTGACATACCTCTCGGTCGTTTCTTGTGAACTCCCCATCACCCTTCCTCAGTCTGATTACCTGGTCCTTGACTGTTTTCCTCCTTATGTGGCTATACAACAGCTTCAGGTCAGACTTGACTTTCGATGCTATGTCAATTTCATATTGTCGCTGAGCCTCCCTACTTAGCTGTGCATATTCGTTTCTGGCTCTTCGGCTAATCTCTTTATTTTCCTGAGTTCTCTGTCTTCTGTACCTTTTCCATTCTCTAGTACACCTAGTTTTTGCCTCCCTACACCTTTGGGTGAACCAAGGACTCGTTCTGTTCTTCCCATTATTTCTGTTTCCCTTGGGAACAAACCTCTACTCTGCCTCCTTGCATTTTGTTGCCACATAGTCCATCATTCCTTGTACTGGTTTTCCTGTCAGTTCCCTCTCCCACTGAATGTCTTGCAGGAAGTTTCTCATGCCTGAGTAGTTCCCCCTTTTGTAGTTTGTTTTTTCCCAACCTATTCCTGTTACTCTCTCCACTTGAAGCTCAACTATGTAGTCGAAGCACAGAACCACATGATCACTAGCTCCCAGGGGCCTTTCATACATGATATCCTCCATGTCCGAACTACTCAAGGTGAATACAAGGTCTAGTCTTGCTGGTTCATCCTCTCCTCTCTCTCTCTGGTAGTGTCTCTAACATGTTGATGCTTGAGGTTTTTCCAGTACCACATCCATCATCTTGGTCTCCATGTTTCGGGACCCCATGGGGCTCCAGGTTTTCCCGTCAATCTCCTGTGATTGAAATCACCCATAACTAGTAACTTTGCTCCTCCCATGTGTGCTCTCCTGGGCCCCCTCGGTAGTGTCGACCATTGCTCTGTTGTCTCATCATATTCTTCTCTTGGCCCCCTGCAGTTCTGTGGTGGGTTTGTACATTACTGCAATTATCACCTTATGTCCCTCAGACTGGATTGTTCCTACTAAGTAGTCCCTTTCGCCCGTGCCATCCATTCCTTCCATTTTCTCAAAACCCCACTGGTTTTTAATGAGCAGTGCAACTCCTCCTCCCCCTCTCCTCCCTCTTGTCTTTCCTGAGGATTTGATATCCGGATGGAAAGATTGAATCTGTTATTATTCTGGTGAGTTTTGTTTCTGAGTGCTATTATGTCTGGGGATGTCTCCTTGATTCTTTCATGCCACTTCTCATACTTATTTGTTATTCCATCTGCATTTGTATACCGCACCTTCAACTTCTTTTCTAAGACTGTGGTCTGGGAGGTATATTGGGGTTGGGGAAGTGGGGGACCTGATAAGGAAAATATGGGTGGTTGCTGTGGGGGTGGAGTTTGTAATGCAGTGGGTGGGGGCATTGGATATGGCATGGGTGTTTTGGTTTAGAGTGTTTGATTGCACTGAGGTTGACCTGGTTGGGGGGCTTCTATAGGAAGTTGTGAGGGAGGCTGTATTTGATCTTCCTGGGTCTGGAATCTCCTGTCTGTCTCCTCCATCCCCTCTCTTTCCTTCTTTCGCCTTTGTACCATCTCTATCAGTTTCTGTGTGTGTGTACTCATCTAGTTGAGGTTGCAGGGGTCGAGTCCAAGCTCCTGGCCCCTCCTCTTCACTGGTCGCTACTAGGTCACTCCCTGAACCGTGAGCTTTATTGTACCTCTGCTTAAAGCTATGTATGGATCCTGCCTCCACTACATCGCTTCCCAAACTATTCCACTTCCTGACTACTCTGTGGCTGAAGAAATACTTCCTAACATCCCTGTGATTCATCTGAGACTTCAACTTCCAACTGTGTGTGTGTGTACTCACCTATTTGTGGTTGCAGTGTGTGTGTGTGTGTGTGTGTACTCACCTAGTTGAGGTTGCGGGGGTCGAGTCCGAGCTCCTGGCCCCGCCTCTTCACTGATCGCTACTAGGTCACTCTCCCTGAGCCGTGAGCTTTATCATACCTCTGCTTAAAGCTATGTATGGATCCTGCCTCCACTACATCGCTTCCCAAACTATTCCACTTACTGTGTGTGTGTGTGTGTGTGTCTTACCTGATGACGCAGTAAACCTCCACTTACCACCAGCCTCCACTTCCTCTACTACACACTATTATATCCTGGTATACCCATGGGGCCGCCATGTCAGGGGTGTATGTGGTGGGTGAGTGTTGGTGTTGGTGGTGTTAAGTACACCCCAGAGAGGCCAGCTTCTGGGGAAGCGGGTTACTTTAGTGATGGGTGGTGAGGAAGCACGTGGCAGATGGAGGGAGGGAGTGCGGTAGGTATGGATGTAGGGAGGGTTTGTGAGAGGGAGGTAGGGTGAATGGGAGGGAGGGTTTGAGAATTGGAGGGAGAGGGAGGGTGAGAGTGTGGCGCAACCCGACCTGCGCCTCCATCATATCCATCCCGTTGCTCACCCTACACGTGGAGCTGCCTGCCTTGTTTTATCTGTGCCTCACCCTGGCTAGGGTTTAGCCGCCTCGCGGTGTATGGTAACGGCGGCGGCCATGGCGCGTATGGTGCAGCTGGTGGTGTGTAGAGGTGTCAGTGAGGCGGAGGATTGCAATCCCTGCAGCAAGTTGTTGAGAGTTGCACACCTGCACTGACGCCCTCCCCACCCGCCACCACCACAGTCTTGTAAAACACTTTCTCCTGCGAACTATACACAGGTCACGCCCATTACTGAAGTAATTATATTTCACGTGATAAGTGAGTGATATATGCCAGTGTATATGTAAATACAAGAGAAGGATTGACAGTTTATGGTGACATTTTGTGTCAAGTTTGTGCTGGCGTCCGTTACTCGTCCCTGAACCTCACACTTCTTATTCTACACCGATTTTACCATCACCATCCTACAGTTTTCTTGGGGGAATATCGAGAGTCTTGCAGCAGTGATCTTGCTACCATCTCTTACCATCACTCAAAAGTTTACCTAGCTACCATTTTTCCACGCGAGGAGCCTGAGTGGAGCCCCGTGTGCTCCTCACCTGAGCAGTGATGTAGAGAAGGAAGGGTGAGAGAGAAGGTAGAGTGAAGGTAGACAAGGTAGAGTGAAGGTAGACAAGGTAGAAGATAAGAGCAGCAGCAGCAGCAGCAGCTGGCACAACATTATTGGAACATGTTGATGTTTGTGACGTAGATATTGTATCTGTAAACAAAATGGCCAAGTTATCTAGCGAGGAGAGGGCGCTCTTCCCTCTCAGTAACATTGAGGCTGTGGTCAAGCTCTTCAGACTCCACCTGCAGAAGAACAGCGAGCCTAACTTAGCCATCTTGTCCATAATCGTGGGACATATTGAGAATACCCTGACATGTGCGCGGGGAGTGAGTGAACCACCAGTGGGCTACGAGGACGAGTGCTCCAGCAAGTACTCTGACACACACAGAGTACTGCCCTTGGTCGAGTACGAGACCGTGGAGGCCTTGCACCATCGTTTCCTAGCCATTATCAAGGCCCATGTGGATGTGACAGCCTTTGGCACCCCGAGATATGCCACCAGAGAGCTGGTAAAGCGAATATCAGACGTGGTGTGGTGTACATTATCCAGCAGTTACTACAAGGACAGAGCACATCTCCAGTCCATCTACAGCTACATGACAGGTCTGTACCTCGCATGACAGCTGTGTATCCTACATGACACTTCCGTAACTCACAAGACAGCTGTCCACCTTACATGACAGCTACCCTCATGGGAGGTACCTTGATGTCAGCGAGGGAGCTTTTGTTCCAAGGAATTGAGCCTTTTCTTCCTTTCCATCGCTCATACCTGATTGCCTCTTATTACCCAGATGCTGTATGACCGTCGTGGGTTTATTATTATAAATATAAATGACAACTCTGTACCCTGCATGACTATGGAGGCACCTGGATGCAAATGAGAGGCTTTTGATCCAGGGGAGTGGACCTCTCCCCTTGGATCATACCTGATTGCCTCCCATTCCTCCCATGCTATGTGACACCTATGGGTTGAGTGCTTCCCCAAACTACAATTATACTAATGTGATTCTCAACCCAACTTAACAACTCTGTACCCAACTTGACAGCTCAATATCTAATTTGACAACTCAGTATCCAACTTGACAACTCATTATCCTACTTGACAGCTCAATACCCAACTTGATAACTCGATACCCAATTTGACAACTTAGTACCCAACTTGACAACTCAGTACCCAACTTGACAACTCAGTACCCAACTTGACAACTCTGTACCCAACTTGACAACTCATTACCCAACTTGACAACTCTGTACCCAACTTGACAACTCAATACCCAACTTGACAACTCTGTACCCAACTTGACAACTCTGTACCCAACTTGACAACTCTGTACCCAACTTGACAACTCTGTACCCAACTTGACAACTCTGTACCCAACTTGACAACTCTGTACCCAACCTGACAACTCTGTACCCAACTTGACAACTCAATACCCAACTTGACAACTCAATACCCAACTTGACAATTCAATACCCAACTTGACAATTCAATACTTAACTTGACACTTTAATACCCAATTTAACTTTATATCCATCTTTACAACTCTGTACACCACATAACAGCATTTTGCACTCCATGGCAGCTATGTACATCTGATACCCCTCAAGGAAGGTTCCTTGATGCTGGTGAGGGGCTCGTGATCTAGGAAATTGGATCTGTGCTCCGGTTCCCTGAATTGAGCCTGAATACCTTCTATTCCCCCCTCATGCGCTGTTTAATCCCACAGGTTTAGCGCTCTCCCATGATTATTATTATAATGTACATCTGACAGATCTTAGCATTTCATGACTATAATATACTACATGATAGGTTGGTTCCCTATGTGACAGCCCTGTACTTGACATCACACTGCTATACTCTACATGACAGCTCTGTACTCTACATGGCAACTGTACTTTGCAGGACATCTGTACTCTAAATGACAACTTTGTACTCTATGTGACAGCTGTGCACTCTACGTGATGGCTCTGCACCCTATATGACAGCTCTACTCTTCATTACAACTCTGCATTATACGTACATGACAGCTCTGTACTCTGCATTACAGCTCTGTAACTCACATTATTTAAGTCTTTGCATGACTGCCCTGTGACCCACATAAATCTGTGCTCAACTTGCCCAGTCTGTATAAAGCTAATCAATATGACAGCTTTGTAATCTCGGGCAAATCTATATTCAGCATGACAGCTCTGTAATCCACATGGCTATCCTGTACTCTTCATAACAGGTCTGTAACACTCATATTAACTTTATTCTACATAACATTACTGCAACTTGCATATCATTTTTTTGTATGTACAAGGCAGGTCTGTAACTCTCATATCAGCATTATTCTACATGACAGGTCTGTAATGAACATGAAAGATCTGCAACAAAGCCAAATTTTTCTCATTCACAGCCATCCACAGGAATATCTCTCTCCACCAATTTCCTTAGCTATTGTTGTATACTGTGTTTTTGTTTATAATTATGTGGTTAAATGAAAGTTAAGTTTGAAGGTACCACTTCATTATTGCAATTTTAAAGCTGTAGGATCACAAATTCAGACAGTTTCTTTATACCAATCTCAAGTTGGAAATGCAGTTGGACAACATTTTGGGCTGACTAATTTTCATTTGCATTTTATGGGGTTGGTGTTAGAGTTACTGTAATTGTCATGGTATTACGATATTTTTAACAATTTCACAGGCTGTAATTATGCAACATCATGACTCGGGGCTAGAGTGGTAGCCTCTTCTGAGACTACCACGTTGTGCATGTTTCCTACACCCTTTGACCCTCTAATTGAAAATATAAAATATTTCTTAAAAATAGAATATGAATGTTGATGACTTACAATAATTCCTTTAATTTTCCAATAATTCATAGTTGCAGAAGCTGGGAGGGGGGTCACTTCTCATTCCATCTTAAGTTACATAGTTCAGTTTCTCATGCATTATAATGTGGCAGTTAAACAGCAATAACTATTTTAAATTAGATTGGGTTACTTTAGCCTAAAACTTCTAAAGATTATTTTACTCTACAGTTGAGAGAAATGACAACAAAAAATAACATGACATCAAGATAGACGTTTCAGTCACCTAAATAAATAACAAAAAAAGGCACAATACCGTGACTGGAACGATACACAAATAACCCGCACATAAAAGAGAGAAGCTTACAACGACGTTTCGGTCCGACTTGGACCATTGACAAAGCATGAAAGTAACATGCTTATTATGTACCTTGAGAGGACAGGCTGCACTTACCATTTTTGTGTTCATTATGTCTTGCTGAACTGTTTGTTGCCTTTATGTAGGGTAAGAGACAGATGTGTCTTGGTAATTTATGTTTCATAGTAACCAGATCATTTTTAACCTAACTACATGTATAGTACACAAAGTTTTTGAACTCTTAGGAGATTACATATCAATAAATGTTATTTAAAATAAATAACCAATTTTGGCCATTAGAGAGCATGCATATGCATGAGACCACCCAATGAGGGGACCTGCCAGTTACTTTTCAGCATATACGTACCTGAGACTAGCAAAGGCTCCATACTTGCTACCTTACGAGGCTTATCAGCACACATGAGAGCTCCTGTGAGCTCTTATGTTTTTAATATTATGATAATAATTATAAATTGTATTTCACATTTTTACTGATATTTTGCTTTTTTACCTTAAATTTTATATCGAAGATTTCTAAATTTTTTAATTATAAATTCTCATAATGCAGGACATAATGATGACGGAGGGTTTCATGAAACATTTTCACAAGCAGTGGCTATACATATTTATCCGCAAGTTGATTTATCTGTTTATTAGTAGTAGATTACTGTTGACGTTGTTGTTGGGGTCATTCAGGGACACCAAAGCTGACACTTTACTGTGCCCTATCACCTGGGAACAGAAAAAAAAAAATATTGCCCAAGTCTTGATGAGAATCAGAAAGGTAACAATGTTTCATTCGGAAAGAGAAAAGGGGAACATGAACTTTCCAACTTAGATCAGGTGGACCCCAGGTCTAAACACTGGTAGAGCCAGGTGTCTTTATATACTCCTTGAGCAACATGTCTGCACTCCACACATCACTAACACCAGCTGTGTTGCTGGCCCACAAACAACCCAGCTAGGACAGCCCAGTTGCAGGAAAGTTTTGTAAAGATATGTTCAAGACAGCATCGTCCAACATGAAAATTGTGCAACTCATTTGCCATGAACATACCTCACTAGGTATTTCTTCTTAAAAGTTCTTATTTTGGCACTGGTCATGTCTTGACCTACAGACCCTCCATATTGAAGTGGCTCTTTGCGTTGCCACCCCTATTCACATTGAATACATGTGTGTTTGTGGCAAGATGGAAGCTGATCAATATGGTCTGCATGGTCTAAACTGTAGAAGCTCCAAGGATTGTCATCATCATCAAGAGGGGCCTTGCTACAGCTGAGTATCCGGCTGAAAGAAAGCCCCAAAATTAGTCTTTGGCAATCCTGGTAATCCTGCTAATTGCCCTGGAAGGATTACAGTCTATCTCTGGAAGAATGGCAGTCTACTGATGTGGGGCTGTATCTACTCTGGCTGATGCCTCTACGTAATTGTTTTAATGTTGGACAAAAATTCATTGCTGGTGATAGCAAGTATGGGAACCTGGGTCATCAGTACACTACATACTACTTTGTCCCAGTAAGTTTGAAGACCTTTGGACCCTAGGGAAAACTTGCAAATATGCTTCCTTAATAAACTGGGTTCCAGGGTCTTTGATTGAACTAGAAACCCAAGTTCTGCCATGTTCCTGTTCCAGCATTTTGCTGTAAATATCCAGAGGGATTACGCTTGTTTCACTGTTGGTTCCTAACTGTGAGGAGCCAGTCTATGTATGTACTGTATATGAGAGATACTTGAAGGCCTAGTACCAAATTTACACATTACCATAACAATTTACTGATATGAGAGGTATGAGAGACACTGTGCAATAGACCCAGTGAAAAGCAGGGTCTCCATGGGTGAGTAAGAGTTCACTGCCGACATCCATCATCCTAGACCAGGGGTGGGGATCCTGTGGCCTTAAGGCTGCATGGGGCCTTCTGAATTAATTATAGTTTTTAAGTTATTATATAATTATTAACTTTTTACAAAATAACCAGTATTTTGCAGTACAGCCTTACCTCACTTAACGACGGAGTTCCGTTCCTAAAACGACGTCGGTAAATAAATTCGTCGCTAAGTGAACACACAATAATGGTGGTGGGTTTTTGTCGACCATCTTTGATCTTGTTTTAGTGTCACCTTTGCACCATTTATAACATTTCTGGTATATTTTTAAATGGTTATACAGCAGTGTACTGTATATTGTAATGTGTTTTAAATTTTGCAATGAGTCCTTGTTACTGTATTCCAGAATGCTTGTCCTAGCTAGAATATGTGAGGCTGCTTACTCCTGTTTTGAATTCATTAAATTGTAAAATCGTGCAAAATGGTTTTGAGGATATACAGTGCAGAAGAGTATGTAGTATGTTACTTGAGGCTAACTTTTTTTTTTTTTTTTCTTTGTCATGCTCAGATTTGAGGGCCTCTTTTTAATTGATGCTACGGAAGAAATGTGTCATCCCTACTGGATTTAAAAAAAGTGCATGGTAAGAAACTTGTGTGAAAATTCAACTTTAAAAATGCGTAAAGTGGCATCCCTAAAATAAAATATACTGACGGAACACTTAGACTATTACAGTTTAACAAATTATGACACGTCTTGACCAACTTTTTTCTTTTTTAAACCACATCAACCGTCTCAACCATGGTAGTGATGGTAATACATCCGTTGAGTGTTGCTGTCTACCAGCCTGTATACCACTTGCAGATGTAAATTTGATATTTTTTTAGATAGCAGTACTGTTGTAATAGAAGTATGCATTTTGTTGCACTGCATTTTTCTGTCAGCATTTAAATGTCTTCGTGTTTGCAGGTGCCAAACTTGACAGCTCGGGTACGACACTAGCAGTAGTAGCAGCTTGTCAGGCACTTGGTTACTGTGATGTTCACCTGGCACTCTCAGAAGACCATACCTGGGTGGTGTTTGGGGACAAAGGCCAGCACACGGTTGAAGTAACATGGCATGGTAAGAAACTTGTACCGTGGACCCCCGGTTTACGATATTATTTAATTCCAGAAGTATGTTCAGTTGCCATTACCGAACGAATTTGGTCCCATAAGGAATATTGTGAATTAGATTAGTCCATTTCAGACCCCCAAACATACACGTACAAACACACTTACATAAATACACTTACATAATTGGTCGCATTGGGAGCTGATCGTAAACCAGGGGTCCACTGTACTGTGAATCATGTAACATCATTTGAATGCTGCCTAATATGAGAGATGCAAGGTACAACTGATTGGGCTTCCCAGTTGATAGGTGTGAGGCTGAAATTGGAGTGTACTGTATATACAAAACCATTACCTGCATTCGAGGCTGGCTGTGTAATCATTACAGTGTTTCTTGTTGTCAGAATATTAATGTCATTTAACGTCTTGCATAAACTGCTTTTGAGTAAAAATAATTTGTTTAGCTATATCCTCTTGCCTGATGTTGGTCACCTTGTGATGGTGGTGGGGTTTAGTGATTCAAGGTCCTCCTTATGATGGGTCACCTTGTGATGGTGGTGGGGTTTAGTGATTCAAGGTCCTCCTTACGATGGGTCACCTTGTGATGGTGGTGGGGTTTAGTGATTCAAGGTCCTCCTTATGATGGGTCACCTTGTGATGGTGGTGGGGTTTAGTGATTCAAGGTCCTCCTTATGATGGGTCACCTTGTGATGGTGGTGGGGTTTAGTGATTCAAGGTCCTCCTTATGATGGGTCACCTTGTGATGGTGGTAGGGTTTAGTGATTCAAGGTCCTCCTTATGATGGGTCACCTTGTGATGGTGGTGGGTTTAGTGATTCAAGGTCCTCCTTATGATGGGTCACCTTGTGATGGTGGGGGGGTTTAGTGATTCAAGGTCCTCCTTATGATGGGTCACCTTGTGATGGTGGTGGGGTTTAGTGATTCAAGGTCCTCCTTATGATGGTCACCTTGTGATGGTGGTGGGTTTAGTGATTCAAGGTCCTCCTTATGATGGGTCACCTTGTGATGGTGGTGGGGTTTAGTGATTCAAGGTCCTCCTTATGATGGGTCACCTTGTGATGGTGGTGGGGTTTAGTGATTCAAGGTCCTCCTTATGATGGGTCACCTTGTGATGGTGGTGGGGTTTAGTGATTCAAGGTCCTCCTTATGATGGGTCACCTTGTGATGGTGGTGGGTTTAGTGATTCAAGGTCCTCCTTATGATGGGTCACCTTGTGATGGTGGTGGGGTTTAGTGATTCAAGGTCCTCCTTATGATGGGTCACCTTGTGATGGTGGTGGGGTTTAGTGATTCAAGGTCCTCCTTATGATGGGTCACCTTGTGATGGTGGTGGGGTTTAGTGATTCAAGTCCTCCTTATGATGGGTCACCTTGTGATGGTGGTGGGGTTTAGTGATTCAAGGTCCTCCTTATGATGGGTCACCTTGTGATGGTGGTGGGGTTTAGTGATTCAAGGTCCTCCTTATGATGGGTCACCTTGTGATGGTGGTGGGGTTTAGTGATTCAAGGTCCTCCTTATGATGGGTCACCTTGTGATGGTGGTGGGGTTTAGTGATTCAAGGTCCTCCTTATGATGGGTCACCTTGTGATGGTGGTGGGGTTTAGTGATTCAAGGTCCTCCTTATGATGGGTCAAACCTTGTGATGGTGGTGGGGTTTAGTGATTCAAGGTCCTCCTTATGATGGGTCACCTTGTGATGGTGGTGGGGTTTAGTGATTCAAGGTCCTCCTTATGATGGGTCACCTTGTGATGGTGGTGGGTTTAGTGATTCAAGTCCTCCTTATGATGGGTCACCTTGTGATGGTGGTGGGGTTTAGTGATTCAAGGTCTTCCTTATGATGTTGGTCACCTTGTGATGGTGGTGGGGTTTAGTGATTGAAGGTCCTCCTAATGATGGGTCACCTTGTGATGGTGGTGGGGTTTAGTGATTCAAGGTCCTCCTAATGATGGGTCACCTTATAATGGTGGTGGGGTTTAGTGATTCAAGGTCCTAATGATGGGTCACCTTATAATGGTGGTGGGGTTTAGTGATTCAAGGTCCTAATGATGGGTCACCTTATAATGGTGGTGGGGTTTAGTGATTCAAGGTCCTCCTAATGATGGGTCACCTTATAATGGTGGTGGGGTTTAGTGATTCAAGGTCCTAATGATGGGTCACCTTATAATGGTGGTGGGGTTTAGTGATTCAAGGTCCTAATGATGGGTCACCTTATAATGGTGGTGGGGTTTAGTGATTCAAGGTCCTCCTAATGATGGGTCACCTTATAATGGTGGTGGGGTTTAGTGATTCAAGGTCTTAATGATGGGTCACCTTATAATGGTGGTGGGGTGTAGTGATTCAAGGTCCTCCTAATGATGGGTCACCTTATAATGGTGGCGGGGTGTAGTGATTCAAGGTCCTCCTAATGATGGGTCACCTTATAATGGTGGTGGGGTGTAGTGATTCAAGGTCCTCCTAATGATGGGTCACCTTATAATGGTGGTGGGGTGTAGTGATTCAAGGTCCTCCTAATGATGGGTCACCTTATAATGGTGGCGGGGTGTAGTGATTCAAGGTCCTCCTAATGATGGGTCACCTTATAATGGTGGTGGGGTGTAGTGATTCAAGGTCCTCCTAATGATGGGTCACCTTATAATGGTGGCGGGGTGTAGTGATTCAAGGTCCTCCTAATGATGGGTCACCTTATAATGGTGGTGGGGTGTAGTGATTCAAGGTCCTCCTAATGATGGTCACCTTATAATGGTGGTGGGGTGTAGTGATTCAAGGTCCTCCTAATGATGGGTCACCTTATAATGGTGGTGGGGTGTAGTGATTCAAGGTCCTCCTAATGATGGGTCACATAATAATAATAATAATAGTTTTATTTCAGCATGATACAATGTTTGCACAAAGATGAGTGACATTTAGTTATGCTTGCAGAATGCCCATAGTTATGCAGAGTCTTTTGGGCAAGATTAAGCCTGACTTAAGACTACAATGGCAATAACTATTAATTGCTTATGTATCAGAACATTAATTAAGGGTATACAAACAACAAATTTAGGAATTACAAGGAGAACAAACAAGAAGACAGTTATTACTTCAGGTGATAGTGAGGTTTATACAGCTGCTGTACCCCCTTATCCCTGTGATTGTAGCACTGTATGACCCACCTGGGTTTAGTGCTTTTTTTAATACAGTAAATGTTGAGTACCCTCAGTGTCAAACTAAGACTCCAGCACCCTATTCTTTGTTGTAAACAGTAGGTATGTTTCCCTTTCAACCATTTTTTTTTATGTAATTTATATCCTATGAATTGGAACAAATTATGTATATGGTATTGACTGTGATTAAAGGATGTAGAATTGCTTTCATTATACAGTATTATACCTGTAACATCTGTAATATGTGAGCAAACTAGCAAAGGGGCGTTCCTGTCTTACAAATTTACTAATTTTCTTCACTAAGGTATTTGAGGAGGTAGATCATGGTATTGAATATGATATTGTGTATATGGACTTCAATAAGGCTTTCGATAGAGTTCCACATCAGAGGCTATTGAGGAAACTTAAGGCACATGGAATAGGAGGAAAATTTTTTTCGTGGGTTGAGGCATGGTTGACAGGGGTCAGTATTGGACCAACAAGGCACATGGAATAGGAGGAAAATTTTTTCCTGGGTTGAGGCATGGTTGACAGGGGTCAGTATTGCACCCCTTGTTGTTCACAATCTACATAAATGACATAGATAAGGGAATAAGTAGTGACATAAGCAAATTTGCTGATGACACCAAAATAGGCCATCCAGTTCATTCTAATGAGGACATTAGTGCACTCCAGGATGATTTGAATAGACTGATGCAGTGGTTGGAGAAGTGGCAGATGCAGTTTAATATAGACATATGCAAAGTTCTAAATGTTGGGCAGGAAAATAACCGTGCC